AAGTGAAGGTATTAAAGTTGAAATAATTGAATAAAATAATTATAATAATTATATTACGTAATATTACGTAAAATCAATAAACAGCGTGATAAGACGCTATTGATCTTTGGCAACATTTTTTTTTATTGCGAAAATGAAGCTATTATACCTGTAATAATTATTATTACGATATTAATGAAGAAATATATAATATTAAATTAATAAATTGAGAAGCTAAATACTGAAATGTAATACAATTTAAATTAGAAACAAGGTTTCTGCTGCAAATATATATATTCAAATATAAGAAATGAAATTTAAAACTTCGATTGCTATATATTTTATTGTTGCATTTATTACTATATTAGCCGCAGTCCAATAAAATATGAAAATCTGCGATCAGTTTTTACAAAAATAATTACTACCGAATATAATTTTATAGCCTGCAATAATGATTATTAAAATATCGTTTATTTACTGTGTTAAAATATTGTTCCATTAATTAATTTACGAAATGGTTCGGTTCTTGGAACGTTACGATTAAGTATTACAATGAACTCTGACTCTAAGCTATAAAAAATCTTCTATTCTAAATACTTATATTAAACAATTATGCGACAGAAAAGTCTATAGGATGCAACGTCTGTGTCACAGACTTAGGGAAATCATAAAAGCTACCATAACACAAATGAAGTATACAGTATACTCAATTCTCGCTAACTAAGAAGCTTAAATATGTTAAATATTGGTAACGATGACTGCGATAGAAAAATGATGAACGAAGCTCCAGGAGATAATGCGAATGAAATGTAAGTTTCGAAGTTATAAAACCAGAGTGAACATAAAATAAAATCAACTTCTATTGTAATAATTGTAATATTTATTATCACAAACTATGAGTTAAAATCGTACACAATTATGTAAGAAAGATTAACCGTGGTGTTTATAATTGTTTCCTTCTCCCTAGATAATTTCATGGTACGGAGACGATGTTCTTCAATATGGTTCGAAGAATCGTTCGATTCTACATCGTTACAAATATAAAAATTCGCTGCCATACAAATACATATTACACTAAGGATCGTCTGATACTTGTAATCGTCGCTGTTCACAGTAGACAGAGGATCTCTCCTATAGCTTACAATTTACCGATTTTATACATTTGAAAGTTTTTCTCAGACATTCGGTAGAAAATATTTACCCAATATATTCTATCGCCGATAAAACGGATCAAAAAGTCGATCGAAGGCACCTTTTTTGTAAGACATTAATTATACTTACAATTACATAAAAATTATATTGCTTTAATGCACTACTATATACATTGGTGACCTAATGTTATCGATACATATGAGTTTTCCATTGTTGCCTTTTCTCATGCATGTTACAATGTAAGGTGCTCGTGTTTTGAAAAATTTGTCGTAAAATATATCTGTATATTTATGTATATATATATTTATATATATAATTATTTATAAATTTGCTTAAATGCATAAAACGAAACTACAGTTCACAAACGCATCGATGTGTTGCAATAGACGCTCCATATTATATTCGATAGAATCGCATGTTTTTCCAAAAATCCACGAGTCTCTCCCGCAATTTCGTTCTCGCGTATTAAATGAACCGTAGCTTCGAGACAGGCTAGATCGGAACTTGGTTGTTCGATGATTACTCATCAACTCGATTTGTTGATTTCTTTAACACATTGCTCTCTCATGTCGCGGCGTTTATATATATTTATATCTCGTATATAAATATATATATATAAACAATTACTGCGGTGCATATAACGATAAAAAAGAATTCTTAAACAATAACAAGATATACCACATGATACTAAAATCACAAAAACGCTCCCGATACTCCGAGCAAAGGGGCTCCTCGCTCGTTTCTCGACGACGCGAACGGCTCATTACCACACAAGGAAACGTAGCGAACGTCTCTCCGTGAAGTCAACAAAAATAATACCGGTCGGTCTCCTTTCGTCGTTATTTTTTTCCATTTTTCGTTTTATCGTTCGCTCTTGAAGCATGTCTCGTTGTTGCTCGTTGTTGCTCGTGAACGCAACGACCTCAGGAAAAAATCTTACGAGAAAGTATGTGTTGCGGAGATCAGTTTGGTATTTTCGCGGGCAACCTCTATCCGACAGAGAATGTTCTGAGTTCGCTTTCACGCTTTCGTCTTTATAGGATGAATCGCGTAAACTGTACAACCTGATTAATTTCGTTCTCGGGACAAAACGATCTATGCACTTCTCGTTACACACAAATGTCTAGACAATAAGCAATTTAATAATGTTCTTCGCACTCTTTTCTTATTTTATCTTGCATTTTTCGACGATTCCATGTCATATTTCAACAATTTTTCGGTGTATAATTCACTTCGGATTTATCTTAATTAGTACTTATCCGTAATCGTATCTCTACTTAATACGTTAAAGTCACATTTGCCTTCCCTGGATAGCTTGTATCCTACCTTAAACATACTATATGACTGCTTGCTTGCGCGACTCTCTCGAATGCATGTTTTCGTGCAATAATATTAAAACGCCGGAATCGGTCCAGATAACGTTCATATTATCACGAATTCGAGGACGGTACAGTGATTTCTCCCTAACTGTCGCCGGGTCGGAATTGTAACCAGTCGGTTTAAGAATCGAAGTCGCGATTCTTTGAACCTCGCGACTCGCTTTTATAGTTGCCGACACAACTCGTGTGTGTGTGAGAGAAAGATAGAACGAAACTCGAACGAAACTATCTGGAAAGATAGCGGCCAGCATGCCGGTGTACATTACTATGAATACATTGTAATGTTAGAATAAAAACGATAACTTAAACTCTTTTATTTCTAATTTTTTATATATGAAAATTTTTTTAATACATTGATTAGATTTCTCCAATTAAAATGATACCAAACATGACATGCTTTAGACCATACTTAATTATACGTAGCAAGTGACTTATTTTATTTGCGAAAAAAGCATTTAAAAAAACTGATTCTTAATGTATGAAATATCATGTATGTCGTTCGAAAGAAAATATCAATCAGTAAAGTTATGCTATTCGAACCTACGCTCGACGACAGTAGGAACAGACATGGCTCGGTTCGTTTGTTTTTTTTCGTAAAAAAAATCAGTTTTGAAATGTTAACATTCAGAAAAGTTGTATCATTGTATTATGAGTTGTCTTCCGGGAATTCGAGTCAAAGGAGCCGTGTCGCGTATAGTATAGTGTCGCCTTAGTGTCGGCGTAGCGAGAATATCGATAAGTTACAGGGCCGTGACAATATCACGGCGTCGTTCATGGCAGACCAAAATTACGTCATTTAGGGAGGCATTACTGTATTTCGAAAAAATCATGTAACGGAAATTTGTTCACTAGGATGAATCGAAAAGAATAAAGAAATAATTTCATTCGAACGAACAAGAGACCATTGTAAACAGAGGTCCCTGCGAGACGTTCAATAATATGAAGAGTAATTGAAAGAAAATAAACACATTAATCTCGTAGATCGTTTAAAACGAAAACGGTACGGATGGTCGTTTCACCGTCGTCAAAAATAATCAGGATGAACGAGTTTAGCGCAACATTAAGAACAATGAAACACCAACATTTTAGATTTTAGAAAAGTTTTGTTCCTGTTTCTGTTCTAGAAGAGCTCGTCGTCAGCGATTCAAATGCCATTGATTCGGAAACAATGCGACAAGCTGAGAATGCTTGTTCCTTTAACGTCGGCAAAACAGATTTCACGTGTTCTGATATGGCAATCAACGGTGCGACGGTCGCATCATTACGGACAAACGGTCTCGTGCGTAAAAACTTGGTACAGTTTCACATTTAGTAGGAAATTTGGTCCGACAGTTCTTTACTAGCTGTTGACTGCGTTTTACGGGGCAACGTCCGATCACATGTGAATTGTTGCCGCCGTGTAACGTGCCTCACCTCTTCGCCAACTCCACTGGCTTGGTCGATACTGCACAACAAACAAGCAAACACGAAAGTTAGAATATAAACTCGTCAAAACTTTTTGATGCATATTGCGTTCATAAACACGTTTACAAACGTGTCGAATCCTTACCCTAATTAACATCTGCCCGGACGCACTGTGAGGATTGCGATAAGCGTATGCAGCCCAGCCCACTAAACCTACGCCCAGACCGACCACCATCAGGATTCCAATTATTCCAGAAACTCCCATGTTCATATTGCTGTTCCGAGCTAGAAATGAAACAATGAAATAAAATTATGAATTTTTGTAATATTCAGTAACTTTTCTCTTCTTTCTGTACATGAGATGCTTATTAATGGGCGAGAACCATTCAAGTCTATGGACAACATGCGGAAAACTAGTTCACGTAAATGAACACGTTACTTAACCAGTTAAATGGACAAGACAAGTCAACTCGTCGCGTCGTTTTTATTCGACTTTTTCTTTCGTCACCTTTACAGATCCTTGTTCATTGAACTAGTAATTCCAGTATCTTCCATTGCATCATAATTTGTGTTCGTACCAATCGTTACGCGTTTATTAATGAAATTGTTCTCGAACATAATAAACATTTCGTACAGAGTAGTATGCAAACAATCATCTATATACATCTATAAATCTATATACATAATTTCAACAACCGAGAACCAGGTCGAGGAGATGGGCGGTTAAATGTGACGGAAAATATCAGAGAAGAATAAGTAAACAACTTAGTGCAGTGATGCTGGTTGAAAGGAAGAAAAAGAGGAAAGTAGAGAAATATGAATAATATAGGGAATAAATAAAGGAGAATATTACAGGGAAAGGTGGACACTCGGGAAACAGGTAGAGAAGATTGAAAAAGAAATCGATGGGAAGTTTGGATAATCTTAATGAAAGGGGATGTAGAAGTACAAAAGCTGTAAAAAATGGCTACGATACGGAACTCGAGGTGTACACCAAGATGCAAGAATGCAAGTGTAGTAAGTTGGTTGAGATATCTGAAATAGGAGGGAAAAGGGGAAAGAATATAACAGTAATGGTAAGATTAAAATGTGGAAATGAAGAAAAAATGAACAGATACTGGGAAGAAAACGATAAGAGAAAGTGAAACCTATGAATTTGGGTGAATTGCTGAGGATTGAAGGGAAAGGTGTGGAGCAGAAGTGGTTTGAGAAAAGGAGGGTAAGTGAGGAAGTAAGATAGGGACCGAAACACCAAAGATATTAAGGAGCAACAAGATTTGTTGTTGTTGTTTTTATGGTTTGAATAGTTTCATTTGGTAATGTCCTGTTCAGATTGCTTCAATCTTAATATAACTGATAAAAGATAGTTTGTTTTTCTCGTTTCGTTTTACTTATGTACAGATGAAGATGTTGTGCTATTTTTTTTATTTGTGTTTTGTATTTTTAGCACTACTATCACTACTACTTACTATTACTAATGCTGCTGCTACTACTACTGCTACTACTATCACTACATAATTTTAACATACAACCTATCGGATCTCTTAATCAATTTTTTAACATGATATATACTAAGTTCCATCTTCAAGTTTCTTTCTAATATTATAAAATCATTGAAATCTCTGTTATTCTATAGGCAAATTGTTAATGATTTTCAAGGTTTAATTTACATTTCTGGAAGACATATTTTGGATTTCCAGCCAATTCCACGTTCATCTCGCTGACGGTGACGGTCTCCTCGGAGTGCATGTGCACGACATGATTGTACTCTTCTTCGTGCTCTTCGTACGCTCTGGTCCTTAAGGGACAATATTCGACATCCTTGATCTTCCTGGTTTCACAACCTTTCGACAGCCAGTCCTGCCGCGACCTGAACGTCCCCGTGCTGCACTGATTCAGCAACGAGCACCATTTGCAGTCGAAGTCTTTCAATTTGGTCAAGCAATCCTTGCAGTTGTCCATTTCCAGACAGGTGGGCAACGCGTTCAGGTAGATCACGGTCCAGTTCCTGATGTCCTGCCGGTTGAAGTTGACGCGGTGATACTCGTATATGGTCTTTCTGCGAACAACTAGAGACGAAAACGAAATTAGTTTAAGGACAGCCACGGTTCGGTAGCTCGAGGCCGAGACTATATACTTACAGAACGCTATTCTGTCCATGATGTAAGCGTCGCTGAGGCCAACTTTAACGGGATGCGCCGTGTCCTCGATCTTCTTCACCATCAGAGGGATCACTGAGTAGACGAACACGATGTCGCCGTTCTGGTGCAGAGTCACCTGGAAGGTGAACGCGCCGGCATCCGGTTTGTCGTGGAGGGACACCTTCTCCCATTCAACCGTAAACGCCGTTCCTGCAATTGACCGTCGTCGTCGATTATATTTATCCCCCAGAGCGAGAGGTTTCCTGTGTCAAACGCGACTGCGATAGTCACAGGCCATTTTTATTAGACCTGTTTTGCGATCACCTGCCGCACAATCGCCGCCGAAGACTCACCGTTGTCAGCGTACTTGACGAAACTGTCGTTCGACAGACGCGTGTCGAAATTCGCCATCAACGGGGCAATGTACTGTGTAGCTGCCAGCCAACTGTGAACATACTCGCCGGTGTACAGGAAGCCGCCGGTGGCGATAGTAATGTTGCGCACTTTGTGTCCATAAAATGGGAAGTCGAACTTCAGCTTGACGGTCTAGACAGAAACAACAAATATTGCCGTTAATAGTACTAATAATAATATAATATAATAAAAGCGTCGCAAGGTTATCGAATGATCTTCCAGTCACAAGCTGTGATCATTTTCGAAAACTTGTTCTCATCGTCGCACGGTTCATCGAATCCTTTTCTTGGCAGGTTGTTCAAGGTCATTGTAATTGGTACGAACGCTGCAGACCGGCCGAGTGATGAATTTTATGTCATCGTGTGTTAATAAAGCGAACTTACTGTAGCTCGGCGATGACTCTGGCTGAGTAGATAATTAACCTTCAGTTCCGGATGATTGTCTATGTCCACCCAGTACTTTTTGCCCACGGCCTCGTCGATGGTGAACGTGCTGTTGTAATATTGATGCGTGTCGTACTCCATTTTCGTGATGTTATGCTGCGTTAGAGTCTTGTTCGTTAGGTCCGAGAATTTCTCAATCGAAATGTCACCGAGATTGCTGTCGGACTCGTCTTTGTCGTCCGCAGCCTCGCTGGTCGGCTCTGTCGCAGCTTTTGCGGAGTTTCTGTTCGCCTCCGTCGGTGTTCTCTCCGGTGCGGTTGCCCATTTCGACAGGTTCATCCACCCGTTTTGCCCGACCTGCGGTGAAAATAGAAATCTCAGCATTAGTAAAACTAGTAATAAATAAGTATATATTATATAAGTATATAAGTATAAGTATATAAGTATAAATTAGTATAACTAGTAATAAATCTTGTCTAAATCCTCCAATTAGCTTCTCTCACCTGTCTCATAGACTTCTCCTACCCATATTCACTGAATATTTTCGGATAGTCGATCACTCTTTTAGATCATTTTTCTTGCACTTCTTTCCAAAGTTTTGCTTACTTCTTTTTGAGACACATTTTTAGAGATTTTAGAGATAAACTTTGTTCAGTTCCTTCCAAAAACTTTGCTAGCTCCTCCCATCAATTCTTATTGACCATTCCCAATAATTTCCTACCCATATTCATTGAATTTTTAAGAATAATCGATCACTCTTTTAGATCATTTTTCTTGCACTTCTTTCCAAAGTTTTGCTTACTTCTTTTTGAAACACATTTTTAGAGATTTTAGAGATAAACTTTGTTCAGTTCCTTCCAAAAACTTTGCTAGCTCATCGCATCAATTCTCTTATTGACCATTCCCAATCATTTCTTCTCTAACTTCTCCCGCCAATTCTTACAGGTTCCTCTCCAAAAATGCCATCCGCTACCAGTTATTTTGTGACTATTTTATACAATTCTATCAGTTCTTATTAGACATTCTTATCCTTCCTAGCTCATCCTACCTATTCTCACAATCTCCTCAGAAACATTGCTTAACTTTTCCTATTACTTTTCATAGTATCTATACTTAGCCCTTCCTATCTGATCGGGCATTCCCACTAATTTCCTTCCTAGCTATTTTCCTATTTTCATAGTCTTCCCAGAAACATTGCTCATCTCTTCTCATCAGTTCTGATTGAACATTCCCACCAATATCCTATCCACCTCCTCATATTTTCACAGACACCATCCAGAAATATAGCTTAGCTCTCCCTATCACTTCTCATAGTATCTACTTAGCCCTTTCTATCTGATCGGGCATTCCCTCTAATTTCCTTCCTAGCTATTTTCCCATTTTCATAGTCTTCCCAGAAACATTGCTCATCTCTTCTCATCAGTTCTGATTGAACATTCCCACCAATTTCATATCCACCTCCTCCTATTTTCACAAACACCGCCCAGAAATATAGCGTAGCTCTTCCTATCACTTCTCATAGTATCTACTTAGCCCTTCCCATCTGATCGGGCATTCCCACTAATTTCCTTCCTAGCTATTTCCCTATTTTCATAGTCTTCCCAGAAACATTGCTCATCTCTTCTCATCAGTTCTGATTGAACATTCCCACCAATTTCATATCCACCTCCTCCTATTTTCACAGACTCCGCCCAGAAATATAGCTTAGCTCTCCCTATCATTTCTCATAGTATCTACTTAGCCCTTTCTATCTGATCGGGCATTCCCACTAATTTCCTTCCTAGCTATTTTCCTATTTTCATAGCCTTCCCAGAAACATTGCTCATCTCTTCTCATCAGTTCTGATTGAACATTCCCACTAATTTCATATCCACCTCCTCCTATTTTCACAGACTCTGTCCAGAAATATAGCTTAGCTCTTCCTATCACTTCTCATAGTATCTATACTTAGCCCTTCCTATCTGATCGGGCATTCCCACTAATTTCCTTCCTAGCTATTTTCCTATTTTCATAGCCTTCCCAGAAACATTGCTCATCTCTTCTCATCAGTTCTGATTGAACATTCCCACCAATTTCATATCCACCTCCTCCTGTTTTCACAGATTCCGCCCAGAAATATAGCTTAGCTCTTCCTATCAGTTCCTATTGGACATTCTCACCAATTTCATCTCCAGCTTCTCCTACCTATTGTTACAGACTTCCTCCAGAAACTTGACCTAGCTCTTGCTATCCTATATATTCTCACAGCCTCCTGCGCTAAACTTTATACTAACCCACGTCTTATTCGCATTGGCGGCCGTCTGCGGGAAGATGACGACATTCGTGTTCTCCTGTTTCGCTTTTGTTGTCGTCGAAGCGGAGGAGACGGTTGAGGATTCGCCGGTGTCCGTCGAATAGGACACGTTCGCCGGTGTGTTTCGAGTGTCGACAGCTACTTCTGACTGCTGTTGTGGCTGCTGTAATTGCTGCTGCTTCGACTGTTGTTGATCCGGTTGTTCTTGCTGCTGCTGGGGTTGCGACTTGGGCTGTTCCGAGGTAGCCTGCTGGAAGGCAGGCACTGGTGTCGAAGTGTATCGGTCATGGAGTACCAATGTGTCTAGCTTATCTTGCACATCCCGGCGCTCCCTAGCCAGCTCGTGATCCTCGTCGTCGGACAAGTAGGAGAATTCGATTGATCCATCGTCGACCAACGATTGGCCTCTCGACTGATCCAGCTGGTACTGGTAGTAACGATCTGTGAACATTCGAACGAAGATTATTAATAACTTGTGTTGCTGGATCGCGATTTTGAATTAACAACTGCTTCGACATTTGAGTCCTGGAATCTTGAGAACCAGGATATTATCAACGTTTCGCATCAATTCGGTGATATTCTCTCTCATTCTCTCTTATCTTTCAGCTTGAATAGACAGGGTAGCATAATAATTCTCATGCGCAAGCTTAAAATTGCGATCGTATCGCCGCGCTAGGGGTCAAGAGAGCCCCAAAAGCTAACTCCAACTCAAAAGCGATAAAAAGTTCCGTTCCATAAGTGCCCTAAAAATTAAAAAAAAAAACTGTACGAATTGAACATTCGTGTCACTGCGTGGTATAATTATTTTCATTTTTATTAATCATTAACGCGGTTAAACGATTTCAAAGAAGCACACCTCAAAACGACTGGAACATAAAATTTTTATTTACAGTGCTGTTGTTTTCTTAATTTTGCACATGGTAACACGCGTACTAGGCATGTATCGATAGTATTAATTTTTGTTGACTTATACATATATGTCAGTTAATGTTTTTTTTTTTGTTCATCCTATACTTTTAGAACATACAGTAAATTCTCCCCAATTGACCCTCAGATTGTACACAGAAATGGACAATTTAGGAAAACGGGGTACGATTATTCGAGCCTTGCGGCTCTCGTTTTTATAATTGTTGGCAATCGGTAATCGTATCTCCTCTTCCAAAATTGTCCGTTTTTGTGAACAATCTGAGGGTGACTTAGGAAAAATTTACTGTATTTAGTAAAAGTCAGTAATATTATTATAACATAAATTATCTGCTACTGGATGCTATTGGACGACATTATCGAA